TTCGCGGTGCATCTGATTTTCATGCATCTAAGCCACTAAGCCACTTACAACTTCTATTTTAGTATAACTGATTAAAATAATTACATCCTGATAGAATTAATAATTAGCGCGACATTGCTACCAAAATGGAATTGGTGGGGAAAAGAAATACATAATAAAATAAAATACTACAAATAAAATAAAATAAAATAAAATACTACTAATAAAATAAAATAAAATAATAAAAGTAAAACTAAATAACGCTACACGGGGTTCAATTAAATTTCAATCATTACACTACGTTGGAGTATAGTTTGTAATTAAAGATTACATTATTTCATTTATTAGATAATTAATTTATCCTGAAATTTTATTTTTTTTTAATCTTGGCAAATTTGTCTAAAATTTCTAAATTATTTAATAAATCTTTTCGAAACCTGAAGTTAATTTTAATTAGAACTACCATGCTCAAATTTTTTAAATTTTTTTATCATATTTTTATGCAATTATAAAATGTCATTACTCATTCTGACAATGTTATAAAAGCTTTGAACCAAACTTATAAGAAGCATATTTCTCAGATAAAATAATAAATTCCAACATATTGAATTATCAAACAAGATTATTACAATGCAATAAAAACATATATCTGACTGATAGTTCAATCAATAAGGTTGCATTGCGATTTAAACCAGAAACCGATACAATAATAAATTCTACTCAATGTTCTAATATTTACTAAGGTAATTGCACGCTTAAACCAGAAATGTTCACTGGATGTGCATTAAGGATCTATGTGTAGTGATAAACTTTCTAATACATATTTGTAAAAATAGTGGCCAACTATTTTACGCAATCTATTTCAAGTATTGTAACGAATTAAAAACTTTATATTTTTTTTTTATGTATTATTGTAAATAAATCCTTTATTTTCTCGGTGAAATATCTGCATGTATATAGTTTATTAATAATTCCCCATTGTTACTATCTAGATTCGGGAGAGCAATAAGCAACGTTGATCGATGCCAATTTCAACTCTGATAGCAAACTTGGAAATAAGATAGAATAATGAATTTATATATTAAACAAGGTATCGAAATCGTGTAAATTCGATATTTATTAGATATGTTTGTTATACGATTAATCAAGGGTTTCTTTATTATAGAAATAAATAATGAAATAAATATCAATAAATAAGTAATAAAATAATCAAAGACAGAAATAATAAATAAATAAACAAATAAATAAAGAAAGGTAAACAATAAAGATATTTCAAGTGAGAATTCGAATCCTAAACTACTCAAAGGGATATGCCGAAGACTGAAGACTTATCAGAAAGTCAAATCAAAGGGCTATATATACAATTTAAGACTCCCAAAGATAGGCGATGAAGATACTTTTTAGATCTTGATTCTTACAAAGCACTAAAGAAAATCTCATAAGTTAGCATAATTTAGTATGAAATAGTATAAAACAGTAAAAATGAAATAGAATAAAAGAAAAATAAGGAAATCACATCTAAATTGCAAGAACCAAATGTTGATCGAAGATCACCTTAGTCACATGAAAGTATTACGAAATTTCAAATACTAACATACTCCTCCCCTTAAGATCTAGCTCCAGTGAGAATAATTATTTATAACTGTTTACTTTTTCAATGAACCGTTTTAGTCTATTACTATATACGAATTTTTTATAGACTTTCCTATCAACTGTCCTTATTTTATAGGATCCGTTACCCAATACATTATGGATATAACAAGGCTGATCCATTTTTCTTCAAGCTTCCCACTTCAAGTTTGATCAAGCGCAAATTTATAGATAAGTACTTTGTCGCCAATAGAACAACTTTCTATTAATTTTTATTTTTGATATTGTATTTGTTGTTTTTGTTGACTATGTTTGATATTGACTTGGGCCTGCTGATAAACAAGATTTAACTGTCCTAAAAGATTCTCAAAATGACGTAATATTTGACCTTCTAATGGTTCTTCTATTGAAGGAGAAATGTCTAACTCAAGGTCGAAGGGAAATATTGCTTCTCTTCCTTAAATAAGGAAAAACGGCTCATGTTTTGTAGTAGCTTGTTTTGTGGTCCTATAAGCAAACAAAGCAGGTGATATATATTGATTCCATTCTCCTCCAAGATGACTTATACATTTGGCTAAGATTTCACAAAGAGTGTGATTAAATCTTTCAACAAGACTATTAGTTTGTGGATGATATGGCATGGATAAACTATATTTAATTCCCATTATTTCGCAAAGTGCATCTATAATCTTGTTACAAAAATAACTTCCTTGATCTGATAAGAGGACTTTTGGGCTACCATGTCAACAAATAATATCATGAAAAATAAAAGAAGCAATGTTTAAAGCATCAGTAGTGGGAATAGTGCAAGCTTCAGGCCATTTTGTGAGGTAATTTGTTGCTACGACGATATATCTATTTCCATAAGAAGTTATAGGTAAAGGTTCAACGATATCTATACTAATACGATCAAAAGGTAACCCAACTTGAATTGGATATAAAGGTTCTTTAGTTCATGGTCTACCTCTCTTTTGATACACCTCACAGCTCTTAACATAATTTTTAATATCTTCACCTATCTGTGGCCAGAAGTATTTAAGGGCAATTTTGTGGTAGGTTGAAGTTGTATTAAAGTGTCCAGCCAGAGAACCCAAATAATAACTATATAGAATAACTTCAATCTCATTTTTCTTCAAAATTCTAAGGGGACATCTTGAATCTTTAATGTTTCTTTTATATAATAATCCATTCTGCGCAAAATAATATCGAGTTTGATGTTTAAGTTTTTTAATTTGCTGTTGAGAAAATTCTGAGGGGATGGTTAAATCGCTAAGATATCTTAAAAAATAGTAGTAAGTTTCTAATTCCATGGTTACTTTGACAATAAAATAAGTTATATTATGATACTATAATAAAAGGTAATTGATTTTTGTATGTTATAGTAAAGCGAAAATAAACTTTTGTGAACATTTGAAATGGGGTAGACAGTTTTAGAATATAAATTTCAATAAAATTATAACTAAAAGTTTTTAATTTCCAAGGTTTGTTATAAATATAATATTACTGATTTAGTAAGTATAGGATAATAGTTATTGTATAAATTGTATAGAGATAATTGTATAATAATGATATATTTTAATTTCTAGATAATGCATTTACATTGAGTGAGATTTACCCAGTCGATGTTGAATAGTATAATCAAATTCTTGAAGTGATAATATCCATCTAGCGATATGATTCTGAGGTCTTTTAATTTTGAACATAGAAGTCATTGCCAAATGATCAGTGATGATAGTGAATTTAGAGCCATGTAAATAATATCGAAAATAAGAGACCGCCCAAATAACAGTGAGGCATTCTTTTTCAGTTGTAGAGTAATTTTTTCCACAGATGACATAGTTCAACTCATATATGAAATTACCCTTTTATTATTTTTTTGTCTTTTTGAGAGAAAATTGTGCTAAGAGCAAATCCAGAAGCATCTATTGATAAAATAAAGTCTTTGGAAAAATCAGGAAAAGCTAATATAGATGCAGAAATAAGTTTTTCCTTCAAAGTTTCAAAAGCTGTTTGTTGAAAGGTGGTCCAGTTATAATGAACATTTTTTATTAGTAACTTATTTAGTGAAACTGCTATTTTAGTAAATCTTTTTACAAATCGACAATAGTATAATGCTAAACCCAAAAATCTATGTAATTGTCATAGGTCTCAAAGAACAGGAAATTCTTTAACAGATTTAATTTTATCATGGTCAGTAATAATGCCTTCAGCACTCACTACTTATCCTAGAAACTTTAATTTTTGTTTTGCAAAAAACATTTGGAAGGTTTTAATTTAAGATTAGCTTGCCATAGTATTTTAAAAACTTAATTTAGATGAATTAAGTGATTCTTAAAAGAAGTCGAGAAAATGTTGATATCATCTAAGTAAACTACAATGAATTTATTGTTAATATTACTAAAAATATTATCCATTAGTCTTTGAAAAGTGGATAGTGCATTGGCCAAACCAAATGGCATAATATTAAATTCAAAAATCCCATGTTTTGTGATAAAAGCGGTTTTTTCTTTGTCATTTTCATTCACTTCAATTTGCTAATATCCACTTATAATCTAATGAGAAATATCAAGAAGAACCACGAAGGGTATTTAATAAGTCATCTATACGAGGTAAAGGATAATTGTCCTTTTTAGTTACTAAATTTAAATGGCGATTATTAATACAAAATCAGGTCTTATTTCTTTGATATACAAGAATGACAGGAGACATCCACAGACTTTTTAATGGTCTAATTATATTTTTCTTTAACATTCATTCATTCTCTTCCTTAAGGTAAGTTTTTTCCTTAGGGGAATGTCTGTATAGCCTTTGTTTTATAGGCAAAGCTTTATTAGTTTCTATAGAGTGTTTAACTATCCCAGTTTTATTAAGATCACATGACTTCCATGCAAATATATCAGCATTATTTTGGAGTAATTTCTCTAGTTCAACTTGTTGAGAAATACTAATTTCACCTATATTAAAAGACCTTGAAGTATATTCCTTGTTATTATCTTCAAAATAAAATTCAAGTAAGTCCATTACCTTCTTCTATGACTTCTACAATTTTTGAAGAGTGTACTTTTTTTAAAGGTTCATGACTCAAATGTTGACATTCTACAGGTATTATTATTTCTTTATCTCTTCACAGCAACATCATTTCTAAAGCATTCTAATTAGGGCTGTTAATCAGTCCGTCCGGTCCGTCCTGGTTAAAAGACTGCCAGTCTTTTAAAAAACCGGACCGGACTGCGGTCCAGGACCGAATA